AAAACGTGAAATTAGGCATTTTCATGTCGTAGTCGTGCAGCGACGACAAAGAAATGTACAAAAAAAGCGTGATAAAACGTGCAAAGTTGTTGTTTTGCCAAGAATCTAAACCTATTGGTTTTTTGCCGCTCTCGTTGACGACGCCGTCGTAGTTGCTTAAGCTCCCTATCGACGTTTCGACAACCTGTGCAGGTGCCATTTGAAGCCATTCAATAACTCTTAATCAAAAGTTCTCGGCCTCACCTACGTGATTGTAGAAACTTTAGAAACCACCTCTCTTTGATTGTTTTTTACTGTAATATTTACTGTAACGACTATTAGTTTCGGGGAACAAATAAAACTATTAATTAAAAACTTAAAACTAGAGGCCTTTGCCATAAAGCAAAAGAGGTAACTATTTTGTTTTTAGACATTTTTAAACCAAGAAGAAAATATTTACATAACAGGAAAAGAGAGAACTGGGGGTCAATCACACAGAAAGGAGAAGCAATCAAGGACAGTGATGCCGTAATACATACATTTAATTTACAGACGTATGTTTTGTTGGGATCCTTTCAACCCAATGGGGGAGTCTCATATTAATCCTTTAAGTTCCAATAGTGACCAACATCAATTTTCTCCTAACAATATCCATAGATTGTCAAGTGCAACATCTATGGGAATTAATCAAATGATCACAAAGAGAAAAATCTCTGATCTTTTATCAATTTCTCCCAACTAATTCTGTAAGGAAATGTATTGGGATCAGTTTGGAGAATTTGTTTGTGAATATTGGAGCTTAAAGGGTTAAATCTGCAGGGGGAAATGAGACTGCTGCCACTGTTTAGTACTAGCAGGAATTCCAATCTAACTTGTTTAAGCTGGGCATGGATATCAAAGTTCATTTACACACTAGTGTAAATATGTTAAATAAAAGAGTCAGACTGGTGGAAAGCTGTCTTTTCCTTAACTCCATCCATAGCCATTTAGTATTGAAAGCTCCTGTGGGTCTGAATGTCATCAAGAAACTGCTGAAGGTCATCATCATCAAATCTTCCTTCCAAACTACGAAAAAGAAAATAAAACAGTGTTGGTTGAGGGTGGACGTTTAACCAGTCAGTTTCCTCTGTTCCTTGGAAGTTAAAAACTGCATTTTTGCATGGTTTAACCTACTAACCCTTTAAGCCCCAAGAGTGATCAGCATCAAATTTCTCCTTGTAATATCAATGCTTTGTAAAACAGAGTGGTCATGAGAATTACGAACATGATCACACAAGAATCTATTGATACATCAACAAGTTCTCCGGACTACTCCTATTGAAAACGTATAGGGATAACAAATGAGAATTTGAATTTTGATGTTAGGGTTTAAAGGGTTGAGTCTCAAGAGTGACCAACTACAATTATCTCACAACATTATCACTGCAGAATTCAGAGAAAAGGTTAAGAGAATCAAGGAAAATGATCACCAAGAGAAAATGCCTTGATCTTTGATCAAATTCTCCCAACAATTTCTTTCAGGAAATGTATGGGGATTAGTATGGAGAATTTGTATGTGGATATTACAAGGTTGTGCTCTAAGGGAAACTGAAGGAAGCCCAGCATGCTTAATCTGTAAAATCAAGGGTGCCCAGCCTGTTTTGTACAATAAAAGTAAGACTTTCTAGTCGCCCAAGGGCAAAAGTTAGGCACCAGGGGCCAGTGGACTCTGCTACAGCACAGCCTTGTATTAGCATGGTATTGATCTTGCCTAGTCTCTAGGCCTTACTGTTCTGTGCAGCCTATACATTTTGGGCCACATGGTCTGAGCGAGTTTTCATTGTGAATATATGACTCACTGAAATACATTGACCTGGAAGCCATGGAAAGACACCGTACAGGGATTCCATGAGATGCTCATTCTATAGCCTCTCAATATTATTATTTATTGCTCAGTAATAATGGTTTCTCACTAATTGTCATGAAAAAGAAAAAACGACAACAGCAACTAAGCTTAAATAATGCAACTTATGTACGTAAACAATGCAACAGACCAGCAACTCAAAATAATTTTATTCACGTTTGTTATTTTAATTAACCATTGCTTTTTAGCATTTTCATCATAGGTATCAAGTTAATTTTTGGATTAACAAGAGGCCATTAAATTCGCTCAGTATAAATAATGGCCAACTCTACCATATAACTTCTTGCTTGGTAATATACTCATTTGCCTTCAATACAAGGGATTAAAAAGAAATACACAGACAACGAGACCCACCTTGGAATTAAAGCTTTTGCCTCCTCTGCCGTCTCTGGACATAAATTAGCCAAACAGGCTAATTCAAACTTGTGAAGCTTTTTCTTACCTAGCAAACTGCAACAAAGATGAAAAAGGAAGTTTACAAGTAAGAGAATGTTCTTAAGGTGTCTGTAAATAAATTTATAAGTGTCCATAACAGTCTAGAGTCTAGAGAGTCTCCTTACCTTCTGACTTGAGCTATTGTCTCCCTGTTTTTATATCTACTAAACTTTTGAGTATAATTCAAAGTTTTGATGAAAACTTCTGACAGTTCTTGCTCTTCTTCAGCACCTTCATTCTGTGTCTTTCTGTGTTCCAGCAACATGTAAACCTCTGAGTTTAGAAGAGTTTCTGCACTTTCAAACTCTGCAAGAGAATTTGATGCCTTTCTTGTTTATTGAAATCTGTCAGTCTCCCAAATAGGGTTTGGACTCTGGTGTTGGGTATTGAGGGAAAAGGTTTTACATTAAGTTACTATTATATTATCAAGATTTGCTCAGTCAGAGGTTCAATTCCCAGGACCGGACCATTACTCAGGGTCTTAAAATAACTAAGAAATGAAGGTACTGCCTTTGCACTACAAGCAGCTAGACCTTTGCATAGCTCGGATGACCATGTAAAATGGCAGTCCTGTTTCCAGTTGGAGACGTAAAAATAGTGTCCCCAATAATACTACTTTTGTGCTAAATACATTGACATAAAGTACATTTTTTCTTTAGAATCTTTGGGTAGGGTGTTCTGCAACCCTCTCTTTTCTCCCCTCCCCTCTTGAGATCAAAAGAGGAGAAGCAAACATCAATTTTTAGATCTCGCTTCACAAAAGTTTAGCCTTCACTTAGACTATTCATTTTTTTAGACAAAAATGTGTTACGCTCTATCTTTTAATATTTAGGTCACATTAAGGTAAGTTAATACATCTTAGTTTTCGTGGCAATATCTTGTTATGAGAAAATAAACAAGTAAAATGCCTAAGCTATATTTCCCATAAAGTAATTCACACATCAGGTTCTTTAGTTCATAGTGGCGCTTTTCCACCTTCAATTGAACGAAAGAGACAACATATCATCCAAATTGTAGCTCATTCAACGCCTAAACTGACAACTAGCACCAAGTACCCGAGAGAGAAATATCGTTTTCTAGTGGCGAAAAAGGCAACAGGTGAAACCAAACCTTTAGGGAACTGTAGTTCTGTGGCGTCTTCTTCGGTACTTGACTGAGCAGATGCACCTCCGGTCGCCATGTTGGAAGCAACTAGCTTGGTAACCGGGCATGCAGTTCGTGCAGCGACGACAAAGAAATGTACAAAAAAAGCGTGATAAAACGTGCAAAGTTGTTGTTTTGCCAAGAATCTAAACCTATTGGTTTTTTGCCGCTCTCGTTGACGACGCCGTCGTAGTTGCTTAAGCTCCCTATCGACGTTTCGACAACCTGTGCAGGTGCCATTTGAAGCCATTCAATAACTCTTAATCAAAAGTTCTCGGCCTCACCTACGTGATTGTAGAAACTTTAGAAACCACCTCTCTTTGATTGTTTTTTACTGTAATATTTACTGTAACGACTATTAGTTTCGGGGAACAAATAAAACTATTAATTAAAAACTTAAAACTAGAGGCCTTTGCCATAAAGCAAAAGAGGTAACTATTTTGTTTTTAGACATTTTTAAACCAAGAAGAAAATATTTACATAACAGGAAAAGAGAGAACTGGGGGTCAATCACACAGAAAGGAGAAGCAATCAAGGACAGTGATGCCGTAATACATACATTTAATTTACAGACGTATGTTTTGTTGGGATCCTTTCAACCCAATGGGGGAGTCTCATATTAATCCTTTAAGTTCCAATAGTGACCAACATCAATTTTCTCCTAACAATATCCATAGATTGTCAAGTGCAACATCTATGGGAATTAATCAAATGATCACAAAGAGAAAAATCTCTGATCTTTTATCAATTTCTCCCAACTAATTCTGTAAGGAAATGTATTGGGATCAGTTTGGAGAATTTGTTTGTGAATATTGGAGCTTAAAGGGTTAAATCTGCAGGGGGAAATGAGACTGCTGCCACTGTTTAGTACTAGCAGGAATTCCAATCTAACTTGTTTAAGCTGGGCATGGATATCAAAGTTCATTTACACACTAGTGTAAATATGTTAAATAAAAGAGTCAGACTGGTGGAAAGCTGTCTTTTCCTTAACTCCATCCATAGCCATTTAGTATTGAAAGCTCCTGTGGGTCTGAATGTCATCAAGAAACTGCTGAAGGTCATCATCATCAAATCTTCCTTCCAAACTACGAAAAAGAAAATAAAACAGTGTTGGTTGAGGGTGGACGTTTAACCAGTCAGTTTCCTCTGTTCCTTGGAAGTTAAAAACTGCATTTTTGCATGGTTTAACCTACTAACCCTTTAAGCCCCAAGAGTGATCAGCATCAAATTTCTCCTTGTAATATCAATGCTTTGTAAAACAGAGTGGTCATGAGAATTACGAACATGATCACACAAGAATCTATTGATACATCAACAAGTTCTCCGGACTACTCCTATTGAAAACGTATAGGGATAACAAATGAGAATTTGAATTTTGATGTTAGGGTTTAAAGGGTTGAGTCTCAAGAGTGACCAACTACAATTATCTCACAACATTATCACTGCAGAATTCAGAGAAAAGGTTAAGAGAATCAAGGAAAATGATCACCAAGAGAAAATGCCTTGATCTTTGATCAAATTCTCCCAACAATTTCTTTCAGGAAATGTATGGGGATTAGTATGGAGAATTTGTATGTGGATATTACAAGGTTGTGCTCTAAGGGAAACTGAAGGAAGCCCAGCATGCTTAATCTGTAAAATCAAGGGTGCCCAGCCTGTTTTGTACAATAAAAGTAAGACTTTCTAGTCGCCCAAGGGCAAAAGTTAGGCACCAGGGGCCAGTGGACTCTGCTACAGCACAGCCTTGTATTAGCATGGTATTGATCTTGCCTAGTCTCTAGGCCTTACTGTTCTGTGCAGCCTATACATTTTGGGCCACATGGTCTGAGCGAGTTTTCATTGTGAATATATGACTCACTGAAATACATTGACCTGGAAGCCATGGAAAGACACCGTACAGGGATTCCATGAGATGCTCATTCTATAGCCTCTCAATATTATTATTTATTGCTCAGTAATAATGGTTTCTCACTAATTGTCATGAAAAAGAAAAAACGACAACAGCAACTAAGCTTAAATAATGCAACTTATGTACATAAACAATGCAACAGACCAGCAACTCAAAATAATTTTATTCACGTTTGTTATTTTAATTAACCATTGCTTTTTAGCATTTTCATCATAGGTATCAAGTTAATTTTTGGATTAACAAGAGGCCATTAAATTCGCTCAGTATAAATAATGGCCAACTCTACCATATAACTTCTTGCTTGGTAATATACTCATTTGCCTTCAATACAAGGGATTAAAAAGAAATACACAGACAACGAGACCCACCTTGGAATTAAAGCTTTTGCCTCCTCTGCCGTCTCTGGACATAAATTAGCCAAACAGGCTAATTCAAACTTGTGAAGCTTTTTCTTACCTAGCAAACTGCAACAAAGATGAAAAAGGAAGTTTACAAGTAAGAGAATGTTCTTAAGGTGTCTGTAAATAAATTTATAAGTGTCCATAACAGTCTAGAGTCTAGAGAGTCTCCTTACCTTCTGACTTGAGCTATTGTCTCCCTGTTTTTATATCTACTAAACTTTTGAGTATAATTCAAAGTTTTGATGAAAACTTCTGACAGTTCTTGCTCTTCTTCAGCACCTTCATTCTGTGTCTTTCTGTGTTCCAGCAACATGTAAACCTCTGAGTTTAGAAGAGTTTCTGCACTTTCAAACTCTGCAAGAGAATTTGATGCCTTTCTTGTTTATTGAAATCTGTCAGTCTCCCAAATAGGGTTTGGACTCTGGTGTTGGGTATTGAGGGAAAAGGTTTTACATTAAGTTACTATTATATTATCAAGATTTGCTCAGTCAGAGGTTCAATTCCCAGGACCGGACCATTACTCAGGGTCTTAAAATAACTAAGAAATGAAGGTACTGCCTTTGCACTACAAGCAGCTAGACCTTTGCATAGCTCGGATGACCATGTAAAATGGCAGTCCTGTTTCCAGTTGGAGACGTAAAAATAGTGTCCCCAATAATACTACTTTTGTGCTAAATACATTGACATAAAGTACATTTTTTCTTTAGAATCTTTGGGTAGGGTGTTCTGCAAACCTCTCTTTTCTCCCCTCCCCTCTTGAGATCAAAAGAGGAGAAGCAAACATCAATTTTTAGATCTCGCTTCACAAAAGTTTAGCCTTCACTTAGACTATTCATTTTTTTAGACAAAAATGTGTTACGCTCTATCTTTTAATATTTAGGTCACATTAAGGTAAGTTAATACATCTTAGTTTTCGTGGCAATATCTTGTTATGAGAAAATAAACAAGTAAAATGCCTAAGCTATATTTCCCATAAAGTAATTCACACATCAGGTTCTTTAGTTCATAGTGGCGCTTTTCCACCTTCAATTGAACGAAAGAGACAACATATCATCCAAATTGTAGCTCATTCAACGCCTAAACTGACAACTAGCACCAAGTACCCGAGAGAGAAATATCGTTTTCTAGTGGCGAAAAAGGCAACAGGTGAAACCAAACCTTTAGGGAACTGTAGTTCTGTGGCGTCTTCTTCGGTACTTGACTGAGCAGATGCACCTCCGGTCGCCATGTTGGAAGCAACTAGCTTGGTAACCGGGCATGCAGTAGTTTATGCTCTTTCCAGGTTTCCGCGACCAAGGCGACACTGCTTTGATTCCTGACAGTGTAGTGGTCACAATGATTTCATCTTCTATCAAATGCCAGACTGAAATGCGGAGCATTTTCAAGACAAACAACCTGCTAGTCAAAAAGCACACCTTTGAACCTCCAACACAGATATGCAAATGTTGGATAATTTGTCACAGTGTATGGAAGAAACATATGCTCTCAATTCAACCCCTACAGAGGACAGTTTCAGCAATTACTTTAGTTAAATGAATGAGAATCTACATCGATTTCCACAAAGTTCTTTATTTACATTATACAGAAGAAAAAAGACAACAACCTCGTTCCCAGGGTCAGTAGGAGAGGACCCTGGGAACGAGGTTGATAAGACAATAATAATATTTAGTTGAAAGAGGAATGAGGCCCCTTTTCATCACTTTATTGTGCATGACATAATTTTCTTTCTCTTTATTATTCACAACAAATGGAATTTTAGTATGTTATATACACTGTACACTGATCTCTTGTTCCATTATAACAGCTATCTACAATATGATGCCATTAACTTGATTTCAAAACTTGCTTACTTTGATTCAAATCACACTGTTCTAAACAAGGTTACAATCATTATGGTTATTTTATACATGAAGTAATCACAGTAAGTTTTATTTTTACACAAATGGGAGATGGGCCCCACCTTATTTCAACGCCAAAGAAAACTTTATGTTGAAGCAAATTTTTAAATGTTGGATCTGCTTTTCACGATCTAAATAGCCAAGCTATATCACTGACTTCTTTTTGCAAAAAAAAAAATCCTGAGAAATAAAAGGACTTCAGGTGGCTCAGGAGACTGAAATCCTTTTCTCAAATTTCTTTGTATACAAAAGGACAGAAATTAAAAGCCGGCAGCCAGCTTATTTAGCGGGCTACTGCAGTAAAACCAACCTGCTACTTAAAGTTTCTAAATATGAGAAACATTACAAAATTAACATAGAAGAATTTGTGGGATAAATGAGAGGTTACTTTGCTACATGTAAGAGACTGGCTTCTTATAATAAAACCTTAATGGCAGCCCTGGTGCAACTTTGTACAACCTTTTAACTTAATTAATTAACAGGCTCATTTTTAAATATGCCAGTTCAAATTTTTATTCAGGTAGCCAAATTTTACGTGGTAAGTGTCTTTTACAACTTATCAACTACGAGAATGACACATTTAAGAAAAGGTTAATTCAGTTAAGGAAGTCTTCTCCCGTTACACAATGACTAATGCTTCACTCACTGGCATGTTGATGACAGCCGTGATAACAGGAACACTGTTACCTTGATGTAAGACAAACACTTTGATAGAATCTGAAATGCCCTTATCGCTGATGCATTCTACCAGAGTTTCATATGTATACATCAACCCTGGAACAAGCAGAGGAACAGTAATGCAAGGCTTTGACAGCGCATACAGTGAGTCATCAAACTGAAAAGTGATGAGCAGGTTTGTTGACGGCACACTGGATGAAATATTCTGCAGGTTTACTGTGAGCTTGAAGGCTGGGCCAATGCCATGAACTTGTGCTGAGAGTTTTAATGGTTCTGTGGTAGAAGATGAAATGGGGTTTAAGCTCTNTTTGATAGAATCTGAAATGCCCTTATCGCTGATGCATTCTACCAGAGTTTCATATGTATACATCAACCCTGGAACAAGCAGAGGAACAGTAATGCAAGGCTTTGACAGCGCATACAGTGAGTCATCAAACTGAAAAGTGATGAGCAGGTTTGTTGACGGCACACTGGATGAAATATTCTGCAGGTTTACTGTGAGCTTGAAGGCTGGGCCAATGCCATGAACTTGTGCTGAGAGTTTTAATGGTTCTGTGGTAGAAGATGAAATGGGGTTTAAGCTCTTTTTTAATGCGCTGACGTAGGATCTTGCAGACATCAGACGGAGCAAATACAAATCATGCTGAAACATTCTGTGCATGCTACTGGCGCTGTCACGCTCACGCAAGGTCTGATCAACAAAGAGCTTTGTTTTCTTTGGGACATTGAGCTTGATGGATTGTGCTGGGGGTGGGCCTGGAGTCAAGTCCTTCCCTTCAAAGTTTGCAGTTCTTTTTAAGATTTTCACAAAAAGCCCGCCACCTTTGGTAACCAAAATCAAGGCACTGTCCTCACGACCAAAGCGGCCAAACTTCATAGCAGTGACAGCATCTGGCATTTTCAATGTATTGACAAGATACTTCTCCTTGTAAATTCTGACTTCACCATTACTCAAAGCAACCATGACTGCCTTGAATCCCCTGGCTTTGTGATCCATCAGACTCATTGTTGTGATGTTGCTAGGGAGATAAACTGTCCATAGTTTCTTCCCTTTAGTCGAGTAACACACCAATGTGTCATTCATACAGCCAACTATAATGCTTTTACCAGTGCGTTCCAAACCAACTGCCTGTGCTCCCAGCTCAATGCAAGCTTTAGCCATCTTACTGCCTCTTTTTAATGTGTAAACCTTGCCATCACGACAAGCAACAACAATGCGATACTCAACATCAAAGAGGCCATTAACTGAGATGAACACAGGCACACTTGGTAAGTCCATTTTTGCAAGAACGGTGAAGGCTTCAGGATCCAAAATGAAGACATCTTTACTTTCAGTGCCAATCACCAGACAGCTAACAGCATCGTCATCTGCAACACTCTTTTTCATTGTTCCCATGCAAGTGATCACAGTTTGCCGCTTCAGTGGTGCATGTTTGTGGACACTGGCAAAAGCTTCTAGCTCTTCTGGTTCCAGAGAAAGAAGCTTCAGAGAGCGAACTGTAAGTCGACCCTCGCTTCCTTCATTTTTCAAACTTTCCAACATCTCCCTGAGCACAAGGACATCGATTTTGTCATCTTTAGCCTGGTTCCACAGGTCTTGCTCTACAGCATTGACTTCCAGTGGTGGTAAAGTGAACTTGAAATAAGGCCTCAAATTCTTGTACACATAAATAAATGGACCAGATGCCACGGCAACAGCAGGGGTACGGGGATCGTTTGTATCCATGTAGAAGGATACCAGGGCTGTTGGTAGATCAATAATAGCACTCTCCATGAACAAGGTTGTCCCTTTGAAGACCTTCAGCTTCATGTCAAATGTACCAGTGCCTAGGTCTGCTACAAGGAGTTTGTAATCTGAATCTGCATTTAGATCAGCTAAGGCGACTGATGTGGAGAACGTGTACAAGGATGCCATTGGATCCTGATGAGCATTGAGCCAAACACCCTTCTCAGGAGATTCTTCATCGTCCCTAAAAATTGAAAATGAAAACAAACAGTGAGAATGGAAAGAGTAAAAGGTTTATGTGGGTCAAATTGTGCACCAGATTCATGTAACAGACCTGCATGAGTCAACTCAAGTAAACTGAAACTTAGGAAAATATTGCAGGATTATTGTTGCGAATAAAAAAAATCCACTTCTTGTCACAAAGTTTTGTTGTTGTCTATAACTGCTGGTGTAAAGGCCCGTATAAATTTATTGACCTGTATTTGTGTGTCGCAGTCCAAATTTTGTTGTTACTGTGTTCCAGGTCTTGTTACTAAGTTTTGTCACTGCCTCTCTGTGTTAATTTTTTTTTATCCACAAAAAATGCATCCTTGTTCAGATCAGTTCAAGATTAACTGCTTCAGTGAGAAGAATGCATCATTCCAGAGAATATCTAGCCTGCGTAGCAGGCGCTTGGAAATAAATGGGCACAAGAAAAACCCTGTGCCCATTTACTTCCTAGCGCCTGCTATGCAGGCTAGAAAATATCCATACCAACCCCATATGGGGACATTGCGAAACCCAAGGGGGTTGGGGGTTGGAGGGTCTTAAATCAGGGTTGTCAAAAGTAGCTGGCTGCCGGCAAAAATTGCCACCTACTTTGTTACTATCGGCCGGCTACTCTCCTTCACATTTCTTTATGGATGGTGATTTTTAAATAAAATATCCCAGGACTGGCCGCTTACTTTGACAACTCAGCTGTGTACTTTAAAAATGTAATTTCCAGAAGGTAGTGGGCTATTTAAGTCAAACAGTCCTCCAGTGGAAGATTATGGATATTTTCTGGAACAATGCAATGCATTTTGGGTTAGAGTCAAGCAGCTGTCTGAAGCAGAAGAGACACCAACATGGACATGAAAAAAAAAATGATACAATACATAGCTCACACCACCTTATAACACTTGGAAAAGGCGTCTAATATGAGAACTTAAATGCAACCGTTGCTAGGTGAAATTCTCACATGTTACTAAGGGTAATCTCAGTAAGCAAGTACGCTTGCATGACACAGGATAAAAATTTATGGACGAGTGTAGATCTGCTTTGAAACACATACTTTTTCAAATCCCAAAATAAAATAACTTAGTAAAATATTCAAAGACTCGGTTGCTTATATAAGTAAACTAGGGAACAGATATTTATAATCGATCAGCGGGTCAAAGGCGCCCACTTTAAACCACGAGATATATACATTTTGCGACTTAAAACATCAAAATTAGTAAGGAAGCACAGTATATACCTTTGACCAGATTTATCCAACTCAGAATCACCCTTAGAACTCATATTTTTAGACTCTAAATAACTGAGAAAACTTGACAAATAACCCACAGACAATCGGAGAAAATGTTGCAGCAGTCTATCCTAAATGAACTAGTACCCAAGCTTCTCTCACCAAAGCTGTTATATCCCATAATCCTTTGGAAACTGTCCTTGTCATTATTACACGGCATATAATATAGTCATTGGTTTTGCTCTTATGTCACAAAACGCATAAAAAATTAATTTGTCTAAGTCTCATTGAACTTAACAACAACAAGATGAAAGTTACCACAACTTTAGAAGGCGAACAGATATTTAATTTGGACGTTAGTGATGATCTCGAGCTCGAAAATTTCAAAGCCCTTCTCGAGGTCGAATCAGGTGTTCAGTCGTCCCAAATCGTGATCTTTCACAACGGTGTTGCACTGCGAGACGATAAAAAGACTTTGAATGGCTATGGGATCAAAGATGGCGATGTCCTGTTGATGCGACGTGGAGTTCTGAACGCCCAACCTCTTCCCCCTTCAACAGGTAATATACGGCACAAAATTTGTAGGACAACTGGATCTTACACTAGCTTTAACATGCTTTAAGCTGAAGTCAGTTTTCCTATAATTAACTTCTGGTGCCGCATGTTTTAAACTGAAAGGAAAGTTTACTTCCTAGGGTTTGGAAAAAAAATGTTGCAATGGAGTTGAAATTTATTGTTCTTCGAGCATTTTCGAGCAAAGTATATTGCGACTTCTTTTAAGTAAAATTTGATATAGCCACGTGCGTCTTTTATGTTATGACGATATGACGATGACATCATAATTATATTTAATTTTTACTTAAATACCGACGGTGTTATGTTTTACGTGAGGTAAAATTAAAATTTTGTTAATTAACATTTAAAACAAGCAGAAGACCAAAATTCTAAAACAAGACCCATATGTGTGCTTGTCTCTTTGTTAAAAAGTTTCAAGTATTAAGTAATAGGCTTAGACACTTTCATAGTCATCTACGGTAATAGCCATCTAATGAAAGGGCATTTGTTTTAAGGTGGTGCCCCAGTTGGTGGTTTAAACTGGAGTGATGTCCAAATACCTAATCAATCTCGTCCACAGTCAGCACGCAACCACCCTCCAGCTCAACAACAACAGCATGGAGCTGCTGACAGAGATAGCCCAGAGTTCATCAGAGACATGTTCCTAGCTGATCCTCATCAGCTGTCTCTTTTAAAAGAAAGGAATCCAGAGCTTGCTGATGCACTACTGAGTGGAGATTTGCAAGCTTTTGCTGCTGTGCTTCAGAGGCAGAGACAAGAAAGAGCTGACCGAGATATGCAGCGAATTCGCACCATGAACGCTGATCCATTTGACTTAGAGGCTCAGAAACAAATTGCTGAGGAAATCCGCATGACAAATGTCAATCAAAACATGGAGATAGCCATGGAGTATTCCCCAGAATCTTTTGGTAAAGTTGTCATGCTGTATATAAACTGTAAGCTCAATGGACACCCAGTGAAGGCATTTGTTGATTCTGGTGCTCAGATGACCTTTATGAGTTCAGCATGTGCAGAAAGATGCAGTATAATGAGGCTGCTGGATCATCGATGGGCAGGCATCGCAAAAGGTGTTGGCACACAGAAAATTGTTGGACGTGTTCACGTGGCACAGATTCAAATAGAGAATGACTTTTTGCCATCTTCATTCTCTGTCATGGAAGACCAGCCCATGGATTTAGTTTTGGGTCTGGATATGCTCAAAAGGCACCAGGTTAGATATTCTTAATTTTATTTGAGTAAAAATATGCAAGCAAATAATATTCATACTGGGGTTTGCAGTCCATGCTGGACTTAAAACACAAGAAACTCCTACCCTTATCAGACTTCTTTCCCATTCTAAACTAACTTAAAATGAAAGTACGGTATATCCTAGTAGATGATCTTTAGGCAGGTGATACCCTATTCAGACCAAAGCTCTCTGTTTACTCCACACCCTATACCAGACTAATCTTCTTTAAAACCATACCCTTGGGAGTAGAAAAGAACTAGGGGAGGCCTTCACTAATTTTTGGATCAGAAATGGGCCGTGCCTGCAAAGCTGAGGTAGCAAGATACTTTATTTTGGTCCGAGAGAGCCCCCCACTGCTTTGATGTGACATTTAGTTTTGTGCTGTCAGTAAGGAGTTTGATTAAAAGTTATTAAAAGTGTTTTCAATTCTGGTTGTGGCAACTATGGAATTAAATGAAAGTGACCCAATGTTGCAAAAATAAAGAAATATTCAATGTCTGTTCAGGATTAATTTGCAAGAGTTAAAATAATAAGTATCCCCTTGAATAATATCCTCTCTGCATATGTTGTCCTAAATTTTGGAATATTAAAGTTAATTAAAGTTGTATGATGGGTTATGTTATTAGTGCTGCATTGATCTCAAAAACAATGTACTACGCATTGGTACAACTGGAACAGAAACACCCTTCCTAGCTGAGTCTGAGCTGCCAGTGACTGATCGACTTGCGTTTAGTGATGGAGAAGGCGAACAAATGATCCAAGATAAACAGCTGGCAGAGATGGAAGATAGAGAACTTGCGGAAGCAATGGCTCAATCATCAAAAGATACTTCACAACCTCCTGCTACATCTGGTCCGAGAACTGACAGTAGCTCTTCATCCGCATCAGTAACATCCAGTATTCCTGAGGCAAGCATTCAAAGGATAGTTGATTTGGGTTTTTCAAGGGATCAAGCAGTGTCAGAACTGCAAAGAACAAATGGAAATGTTGATGCAGCTGCTACTGCACTGGTAGCAAGGTCATTTGCAAATGTGAGACCACCACCAAGAAGATGATACCACTAGAACGTAGTATCTTATTTCAATTTACTAGTGTCTTCCTTCAGTTCTCAGTTTTGTATTTTAAATATGCAACGTGATATCTGACATACAATGAATAAATGGTACTTGTGTTATTTTTTTTCGTGAGCATTTGGCTCAGACAATGCTTATGTGGTATCAAGAAATTATTTTTATTCCCCTGGAGACACAGAACAGCACAAATTACCTTTTGTTCCTTTGTGTCAGTGTTTTGGGTTATTTACCATGTAAGTCCAACATTCAATAATCGATATAAAAGAGTTTGCTATATAAGCAATAATCCCTTCTAGATGTTACAGACTGTAACAGATTTATGAATTTTAGATCCAATGTTGCAAAAGACAGGTTTCTTTCTGCCAGTTAATAATGTTTGGTATACATTTACCACTAAGGAAGTGATGACATGAGATATATATTTTGTTTACTTATTTTACCAACTGCAGTTCTTAGTGATGTAAAAGTTCAATTTTGTACGAAGCCCAGAGTGATCAATACTGTCTAGTATTTATTGGTATTTATTTTTTGTCATTTTTATGGTTTAAATTGAGGTTCAATACTCCCAGTCTCCATAAATCATTAAATATAGCCTGCGAGCAAGCTCTCCTATTTGGGCAAGCGCGTTCTTGTGAGACTCGCTTCACTCGCCCAAATAGGAGAGCTTGCTCGCAGGCTACATTAAATAGACCACAGATTTCCGTTTGTGGAATTTTAGTTTTGAAAATCGTCTTTCTGGAACTGTGAAAAGTATTAAGGACAGATTACAGCTTTGTTTTGCTTTGATGTAACGGGTGTTGTGATTTGTTTAAGCTTTGAGGTGGATTTGTTTGGTCCCTCCCAGTCCATTACAGTCCACTCTTGTCTTGTGGACATTTGGCTGTTATGGACACCCTAGCCTATGGTGCAGCCACACTTGTCACTCGAGACCTAGACAGAGAACTCAATATAGTCTATATCGGAGATTTGGGCTCTCTGCGATGTGGGCTATGGACACCCCAATAATACAGTCAACAGCTGCTGAATTCCCAGCAAAAATAAATTAGGGACGTGACTGAAATTAACTCTCGTTAATATTGTAGTCTGACTACTTAAGAGACTAATTTGTGATCCTGAGTGTGTCTGCGGTAATGGGAGGACAAAACAATAATTGAAACGAACTATTTAGATGGTAATACTGTTTCTTCTGCCGAAGGTAAAATCATGGAGTTTCTTTTAATTTGGTATACTGTTGACCTAGAAGGACTAGTTGGCCACAAACACACCTGGTTTGTGGGTGTAGGGGAAAGGGGGATTGGCTCAAATCTATTTTCACCCATACGAGATACCAAAGTTGGCCGACACTAAATGGTTTTTGTTATTGGTCAGTTCAGTATGCCTTGGACCATGTTGCTAGATAGGGAAAAAGGGCAAACAATGGGGCAAGCACTACAACACCAACGGCATTAACCCTCTGGTCCCCCAAAAAGGTGACAAGAGAACCCCGGTCATTTCCATATGGTCAGGTAGAGAGGTGATGAACTTGGAGGTTTGTGGGTGGTTCATCACAAGGTAACCCCGAAAAAGAAAAAACACCTTGCTTTGAACTCTATTTTCTGTTTCTCTTTAGCAATGTAGGAATACCTTATATTCTACACACTTTGAGGTTATCCACAATTTTCTGGATTCCATTCCCAGAAGAGAACAACAAAACCCCTTGCATTTTTTAATGGCCTCTAATCAGAGTGGCTGAGAAAAAGAGAAATCAGGTGCACGCAAGATCACAAAGAGAGCGCCTCCTTCCAGTGGGCTACTCAACAAGGTTCATACAGGTAGGCTTCGCCCCAAGGTCCTACCCCTTAGCATTTTATATACCATAGAGTACTAAAGTGTGACGTCATAAAAATGAAATTTATGAAATTATGGGATTTGTCAGGATATTCTGAAAGAACAATGTCCAAGAGGCCTACTTGCCAAAAATGAGCATTTAGGGGCAAGTTGTCTCTGAGATCGTAGCCCAGCTATGCTTACAAAACTCCATACAAACCCTTCTAAATTTTTTTTAGGTCGACCCAAAAACAAATTAGAAGGGTTTGTATGGAGTTTTCTGAGTATAACTGGGCTACGATCTCAGAGACAATTTGCCCCCAAATGCTCATTTTTGGCAAGTAGGCCTCTTGGACATTGTTCTTTCAGAATATCCTGACAAATCCCATAATTTCATAAATTTCATTTTTGTGACATCACACTTTAGTACTCTATTTTGCCAAGAAAAAGTACCCTTTTGGTATTACCTTCTATTCACAAATGGTGCCCCCATCACATACCTAGTTTCTTTGTGCCCCTTTAACTTCTGTAAATGTACTGGCTTTGAAATTTGAATAAATCACACTTAAACCAGAACGTTTTCTTGACTTTTTCACAGCCATATAAGACATAAAATGCACAAGCCTTTTTGAGGCCATTTTAGAGGCCACAATGACCGACTTCCCTACCCTTTCAGATACTTCAACAATTGAGATCCCTTCCCTTTCATATATCTGAAGCCTGAAAAGGGTATCCCTTTCGGGCGGTGCCTCCCGGTATAGGCCATTATTGGGAGTACCCCCTCCCTTCCCTGGCATCCTTCTCCTGAAACAACCATAGACAAAGTTTAATATAACCACCAAATACTCTTCATTGCAAGGCAGTAGGCCGCCAGGCACGGCAGGAGCCCATAACCCAGTGCAGGATAGGTACAAAAAGAAAAAAAATTATAAAACAAGAAATTTAGAAAGCTTCTGCAAGAAAACTCAAGCGCATATAGGCCTAGCCTGCGTGGTGCCCAAAACCCCCTTTCCCTTCCCTTTCAGACGCCTGCCACGCAGGCTAATATAGGCCAGGCATGTGAATGTCAGTTTTTAGCTTTAGTAGGCAAGGGCATTAAATTATCGCGCGTTTTATCATTGATAAACCAAACATTGGGTCACGAGAGTGAAGAAATTAATTAAAGCTTTTGACTTTAATGTAACATCAATAGCATGAGGCAAGAATCTGAAAGAGAGCAATGTACATAATATGCAAGTTGATATTGGAGTTTAAAAGGTTTAATAATAACAATGATTAATTATTATTTAATTTTTTTATTAATTTATTGATTGATTAATTAATTGATAGCATAAGCTTAGTAATTGAACAAATTATGACCAATGACAAAAAGACTAGAGTTATTTCCGTTATCTAAAGACTTGACCAAAATGAAAGTGGTTTTCTTTTTGATTATCTGAGGAAAAAATGAGAAATTTTCACCACCCTTGAGAAACAAAGTGAAATCCAAAATTACTCCAAATTAGTTTGTGTATTAGTATAGGTAATAGCATGATCTGTAGTGATATTTGGCATAAATACCACGAGTGATATTTCGAAATTGTTATACGTAATTTCACGAGCCGTTAGGCGAGTGAAATTTGAGACAATTTTGAAATATCACGAGTGGTATTTATGCCAAATATCACGTACAAATCATGCTATTATTTGTTTATACTACTACCCGCAAAAGGTTTGTAATTTTCACATGCAAGTATTTCAAATTAAGCTGAAATACCACTGCTCTAAGCCAATCAGATTGCAGAAATTTCTCATGTAGTAGTATAAATTCTTAAATCACAGCCAAGTTGCAAGGGTATTTCAGTTGCAGCTTTGGAAAAAAGAAGAATTCATAGAAAGAATAGAAGAAATTCACAAGGTTGCCAAAGAAGCTGACTTGATTACTCATAATATTCAATCTCTGTCATGGGATCAACATGACAGAGCATCAGAACATCAAGCAAACTTAACGAAGTTTTTTATTAAGACACATTATATATTACACCAACGAAACTGTGATAGTTTTTTTTGTCCACCTCACTCAAAAGGTGAAAAACACAATCCATTGGATAAATCACTATTCAGTGGACAAGTATTAGGAAAACCAGTACAATATCAAATGAAAAGTGATTTTTCCGGGTGGATAGCACTATCCAACGTTTTAACAGCAGTAACTAATGTTTAACAGTTATAAGTAACATAATAAAACATCTGAGCATTCTGCCATTGGTTTAAATAAAAGATGTACTCTGTTTTTTACAACTAAAAGTTGAAAGAGTGGCCCTCAGTGATGTTTGGTCATTTTGCTACAGCATTTTAAAACTAAAAAGTTGACTGCGATAATTTCTTGCTTTATTAGTAAAATCTGGATAAAAAAAGTATCAGAGCTTTATTTCTGTATCACAAGGGTTGTGTGATGGAAATTGAGCTGAACAACTATGAAAAGCACCCTGACTCTTTCATTCCTAATACCGGTACTCAACAAAGTTAAAAGTTCCTTTTTGGCAAAAGCTAAGAAGTAAAACATACTTTTTACTTGAAGTTGTCAAAGAGGTTTTAATTTAGTGGTTTGGTAACCTTACAGTTTTCCATCCACAGATACCAAAGTTCAAAAAGACAAATAACCTGGCCATAATGCGGTATAGGAAGAAAAGGATTAAAAACTGCAGTGTAACAAAACGATTGGTAACATCCTTAGGGCTTAGGGGAGTGTAGAAAAAAGGTGATAGTCGACAACGACTTCAGGTTAAATACGTGTACAAATTAAGACCACTACAGTACAGTGTATAACATGAAAATCCTGACACTTTAAAAAGCATCTGCTGGTTGCACTTTACATGACAATTTTGGTGATAATAAAGATTGCGTGATGGTAAATGCCTTCGACAAAAGTAACACCTCAACACAACTGTCACATTCTCACAATTTCAACAGCAGAGTCCATAGCCTTCATGGCAGGAATCTAAAGGAAGAGGTTGAGGGGGAATAAAGGCATCCAAAATGGACACTCCCCTTATACAGTTGGTGTTTTAAGCCCTTAAGCCCCCAATATTGCAAAATTATGTTGCAAATTTATTGAACATCTCTATTAAACAAAACAGAAGCACGCAAGCAAAGGTTGGTTTTGCTGCATTGGTTGAACTTCAATTCGAAAATGCAACTCCGTGTTCACAGGGTCATCGAATGGAGGAGTAAACTGGCACTGAAACTGGAATATATCAACATACCAATTCTCCAGACTGATCTCCATACATTTTCTTACAGAACTAGTTGGAAGAATATGTTTAAAGATCAATACATTTTCCCTTAGGTGATCATTTTGTTAATTCTCCTAACCTTTTCTCTTGATTGTGTATTGATATTATTAGGAGAAAATTGATGTTGGTCAATCTTGGGGCTTAAAGTGCTCATCTCCTCCTTCCTTCCTCCCCTGCTCCATCAAATTCCTGCCATGCAGGCTACAAAGCCCAGTGCAATGCAAACAAATTCTATATACCTAACAGTACAAAAATATCATGTCTTTACCGACATACTTTACATAGCATCCTATAAATTTATTTATAATATTAATGCAAAATGTGCTAAGCTTGTGCATTGAAATAAAAATTTATACAAACACCATACTTTGCATCCCCAAAACACGACTCACCCACAAAATTCACAACAATTTGTGACATAACTTATAGAAAAGCAAGCAAAACAATAATTATTTTAGTATCATACAGTTTTCATGAATAGTTGGTTTTTAACTTACAGTATTAACTCAAAACACCGCCGCAGCCACATCTTGCTGATGTTGTCTTATTTGAGGGCAACACTTTTTCAAGAAGTTAGTTTTCAAGGTCTTTGTCCCTTTTCAGATCCAAATCAACAAGAAAAATTTATGACAAATCATATTAATAACAACATGAGCAAATACAATGTCACCAAATAACCACTGTATTGTTACTGAAGAGAGCAACACTTAGGGGGGCAGCAGCACTATTTTGAGAAAATAAACAATTTTTAGGGGGATGAAGGAGCAAACGATTATCCTACCCTTCCCTTCTTAGTTGTTTTATGGTGGCTTGACTGGATTTTTAGGGGAGATACCTCCCAAATTTGAGTATTTACTACATTGCTATTATCATAGACATTGGAAAACAGTTACTATGGTTGTATTAAATAAGAATGGAAATTTGTAACGATTTGTTTTTTTTTTTACATCAGAGTTGCCATGGCAACATAATGCTGCCATTAATTTTTTTGCAAAGTAACTGGAAATACAAAGGCAAGTAAATACATAATGGCATCATAACATAGCCATGGGAACTCCAATGACAGATATGGATCATAACAAATTTTCATCTTTACATAATACAGCTGTGGTAACCTTTTTCCAACATCTTTTTTAATTGCACATTAGTAAATGCCCAAATCACAGAGGTATCCCACTTAAAAATCCAGTTGAGCCACTTTAAATACATTTTAAGTTGGGGCAGTCTGGAGAGCAAAAGAAGGTAACCTAACTCAGTTAGGCTTTGGAAATAAAGGTTCCCCTGCAGGGCCAGGTATGGTGACAACTTTCCAGTTAACAAAAAACAGAATGAGTGTAGGGATTGAGTAAACTATTGCAACAACCAGGAGAGCAATCAGTGATGATTTCCATGAAGCGCGGAACCTTACTGGGGCCATCAAGCACAGAAATGCTACACAGATTGTCAGGGTGTAGTAAATTGATACTGCTGTGTTGATGGCCAGGATTTGACCAAACTTGGCAAACAGCTGAATTGTGGCAAGGCACAGAGGTATTGACGCCACTATTGTTGTTACAGCTGAGCTAAGAATGGCTGTGCCAATGTGAGACACAGCAGCTAATGACCTCCAACCACGAATTTCCTGTAAAGCAAAGAAGCATGATGATCGTTAGTAAGAGAGAATAAAATGGTCAGATGCTGATGTGTGTTTTACCACAGGTGGACCATCTGAACTATTCCAGGCATTGTGATGTCACGTGTGACATGCGATCCCGTACATTTACTGTATTTTGTAACTCCAGCTCTCAGCTTGATTCAAATGATCGGTAGAAATGCTTCATAAAACACAGAATTTTGCACCGTTTTGATCCCAAATGTTGATTTAATGTAAGAAAAATGACTAAAGATAACTTATCATATGTTTTTGGTGGCGTGTTCTTAGTTTTTGTGATGTTCTCAGTAGCTAAAAACCGACACCCCCAACAAATACATAATAAAATGACAATGCTCGCAAATTCAGTGGCCGCTTGCAACGGAAACTGAGAGCGGCAGTTACATAATGTATGGCATCACATGTTGTGCGTGACATTACGATGCCTTGAACAGTTCCGATGGTCAGCCAGTGGTTTTACTGGCAAATAAAGATTAGAGTTCTCTGTTGAACAAAAGAAAAATTTAATGCATCCTTAACTGCTTATACCCCTATACCCGTATACCAATTCCCTTGACTGATTTCCACACATTTCCCTACAGACTGTGTTTAAAGATCAAAACATTTCTTTTAGGTAATCTATTCACTATTTCTCATAACCTACAATCATTGTCAAAAGTGTTGGGAAGGTTGCCTTTTTTACCTCTTCTTTTCCTTCCTCCCCCTGCCCCTGGCCCAATGTTGATCAAAACGTTAATGTTTGTACGCGTAATTGTTCTGTTATATCCCAACATTGAACAGGGGGAACGGGGGATATTTAGCAAAAGAGAAAACTCTCTTTTTTCAGGATTAAAATGGACTACTGTTAAGTTGTACAGCCTTCCCAACTACTTTTGTCTTTGATTGTCTGAAAATTCTGGGTGTGGCCGTGAAAGATCAAAACTCGACGACTTTTTGTCAGTAGAAACGTCTTCAAAAAACACTCGTCAACAGTACTCTGTTGAAAAAAAATATTTGCCGTACCTTGTTAAGACAGTTTTTGGCGCACACACCTGTTTATATTTGGCATGTTTTGCAACCCGGTAAGTAGAACTATTGCTCTTTCCGGAGCACAGGAAGAGAGCCAAAATACAAATGAAAGACTATTTTCGGTGAAAACTATTGACTGTAGCATAGGCTGATATGCTTCAAATCTTAAAGCAAGATATAGTGCGTTCACCACTTTCTGCAAAAATCATTCGGATTGCGACAGTGTAGCTGACATCTTCCTTAGCACTCCCCACTTCTTTACAACATTCAGCACATGCCAATTTGCCAGGCGAGCAAACTATGAGGCTGAGTGGAGATTTGCCGAATTGTAGAGGCTACTTTCTCCGGCTGAAAAACTCTAGTTAAGCCCTTGTGGCACTGCTTTTCGAATCTGGTTTCAGAAAATGACAACAAAGTACGCTGTGGATTTAGAATAAGGCGTCTCTTGTCTTCGTTAATCTAATTAACAAGGGTAACACATGCAAAGTCATCACACACCACATTACTCCATTTTCGTAGCCGAAAAAAATTCGTTTATAGTAGCGCTAACGACAAAATAGCCTAATTGACTTGTTCGGGGCTTTGCAAGGACTTAACCAAAGGAATTTTAATAGATATTTTAGCTTAATTCTAAGTAAAATACAACAGTACTCCATGGATAGCGTTAAAATTAAACTAACTTTGCTAATTGACCTTTATAAGGCACTGTTTAAATGGAGTAATGTTGGGAAACAGTTGTTAAATTTATCTCCGTAGATAAATGCGACAAAAGCTGTCCATATTCTTACATGATTTACATGTTTTTACCCTTTTCTTGTTTGAAAGTTGGTTCATTGTGCATATATTTCGCATTTTCTTGTGGAGTAATGTGATGGAGTAATGTGGAAACTCATGTTGTTTACTGTTCTCAAATTAACTGAATGATTGACAGGCGACGCTAGCACAGCAATTTCTATATGAACACTGAACATGGCTGAATGAACTCTTTTATAGAGGTTCCGTATAACTTTCAGGCCTTACAAAAATACAGTCTACAAGGTTTTAATTCGGCACTTATCTCACTCCTTCCTCGCAACTACAAACATCACGTTTTTCTAGGATACTTTAACACCGCCAGAATGCCATAAAAACTTTATTGTGGCAGCCTTTATGCCATTTCTATTTGTAACATCTTTCAAAATATTTCGCTGATAGGAAACGGCAAAAGTTAACCAGGAATAATGCCGCTGATGAAAACGATACATGTATACATGACAACGACAGCAATTGTATAGCATTTTTTGCTTAAAAATACCCTCATGACTTTTCATTAAATCTAGTGAAACAGACCACCTGTGGCCATTCTTTCTATGTAGTCCACGCGAAGAAAACGTCTCTTGGTTCATGAGAAAAATTAAAGGCCTTAAATGTTTTCTTCTGACGTTCTTAAAGGAAAGCGTTTTCACCCAGTGGACTTTGTGGTCACGCTGTGAAATGTCACGCACGTCAGATGCAAAATTCTCCTATTTATGATTTTACCGAAGTATAACCTTTATTGTATTTTTTATATACTTTGGAAAGTGCATTATCAGCACAGTTCCAGGGCGAGATATCTCAATCAAATGTTAAATGCGACAAGTTTTATAAGCGTTTAAAGTTGATGTCCTGTTCTCCTACAATCATCGTCAAAAGTGTTGGGAAGGTTGCCTTTTTTACCTCTTCTTTTCCTTCCTCCCCCTGCCCCTGGCCCAATGTTGATCAAAACGTTAATGTTTGTGCGCGTAATTGTTCTGTTATATCCCAACATTGAACAGGGGGAACGGGGGATATTTAGCAAAAGAGAAAACTCTCTTTTTTCAGGATTAAAATGGACTACTGTTAAGTTGTACAGCCTTCCCAACTACTTTTGTCTTTGATTGTAGTCTCTTGATCATGTATTGATGTTGGTCACTCTTGGCATCTACACAGCTGTAAGGGTTATAATAGTGAGAGATGTTTATAGCGGGCTGCAAGACAAATTTCTTGTAAAATATAATTATATACTTGTGTTAGAGAGGCCAATAACATATTTGCGTTTTACAATATATTCCATTTATTGAAGCACAACGCATAAAATAATCAACAAATACAATAACGAAGAAAAGTGGATACAAACATGTAGGGTAATGGACTCCAATATAATAGACAGATCAGACAAGATATTTAAATATAAACCAACCTTCGACGAGGTTAGAGTTGCAGGAATGGAGTTTCCAGCCATGATGTAGCCTTCTACGAGATGAACACAATAATCCACTGATGTGCCAACTAATATGGAAAGAGAAATAGCCTCCACTGCTCCCAGCTGCCATGATGCTAAGTAAAATATTGCCACGACTGTACTTAAAACACCTTCAAGAAAAAAGCACTGGGGTTAGTATTATTGCAGCCGAAGACCTTAACTTCAACGACCTGATTTGTTGCATGGCTGGCACAATGCGCAACATAGCTTTACAACTCTTTTTACAGCAACGTTGCTTTTCAAAGGGTGGATAATGCTGTCCTGCACTGGATAAATCTAAATCTCTATCCAGTGGATGGCACAACTGGTTTCCTTAATGCTTTTCTGTTGGTTAGAGAGTTAACATGGATAGTGCTACCTTACGTTTAAACAACCGGGGCCTGGACCTTAAGGTCAAGAAATCCACTTACTTAGAATGGTGATCGTAACAATCAGTGTCAGAAAGAAGTTGGCTGTAAAGATGGCAACTAAGCCCAGACACCATGCGAGTGACAAAGCAATGCCATAGATAGCACTGTTCACAGCAATGACTTCCATAAATGTCATCACCCATTCTTTACTTGTCTGGAAGGCTGTCTTTAGACCTTTGGGATAAGACTTGAGTTCTTCTTCTAAGAAGTTGTTCCAGTTGTCATAATCCTTCACTTTCTCTTGAGAAGATTTTCCCATGAAAACAGACTACAAGAAATGAAGAGATCCTTGATTTTTGTTTTAGTCATATAAACCATTTCTATACGGCCACTTAAAATAACATTCATGAATAAAATAGGATTTCATAAAGCCGAAACCAATAGTTGTGGAATTGCGCACATTTTAGTCATTCTACTGATGAACAGTTATGACATTCCAGCAATAACAATTTGCCTGTCTGTCTCCTTTGAATACTAAAGAAATTATGGTTTAGAGACTCAGTCACGTGAGGGCTATGATTTAGCAGATAAGTTAGTGGTGCCAGCTTCTCCTTTCCAGAACACCTATGTGCAGGGTACCCAATAGTTTTAGGGCAGCTGGGCTCCCTGATGAGTATTTTACATACTGACAAAAATAAATAAATGAAAAAATAATAAAAGTTCTTTAGCCAAGGTAACCTCCTCAGAAAAAAGAGCTGTTATTTAATGATCAGAGCCCTGCGAAAATTAGGAAAATGAATCATGGCAAGTTTTTGCACCCATCCTTTGGAAGAAATAATACAAAAAACAGCAACGTATAATTACTGCAAGAAAGAAAAATCTAGAAAAAAAGAATATTAAGCCATTCAGTAAACTCTCAGTTCAGGTTACATATGGTGCAGCAGAGATAATAATCCGCAAGTTTATTTAACAAAAGTCATGCTCAACTGAACACCCACAGGATCATCAAATTGTTGTTAGGACCAAAACTTACTCTTAATAACAGCATAGCCATGAGCCTTATAAAATGATTATACATAAAAGCAGGGCTGTCATTAAGGGCAGGAGGCCAGGGATTTTCATCGGCTAGTATGAATGTAACCCCGCTTACTTAAGTAGTAAAACAGAAGAAAAATAGAGCTAAGCAGTATCACTAGCTGTTTGATTCCCTGCCTACATGTATCGTTTACCTGGCAACTTAAAATTTCAATGCAGCTCTAATGTAAGGGAGTACAAAGGCCTTGAACCTTTAATTCGTGTTTTTTATTAAATTGCAGACCAAGAACCCCCGCCGGAAAATACTTAATAAAAAAAGCAATACCGATTCAAATGCCATCTTCATCCAGTAGGTATAGTTGCCATGTTTAGGGTCCTTTGACGGCATTTTCATGAGCTTCGCACGCGATTTCCCTGTGCTGCGCATTGCTTTTTTGATCTTTAAACAATCTTTGTTCCAGTCATCGTGACGTCTTTGAGGGTCGTTAATGTAGTCCATGATCCATGTCGGGAAACAATCTGCCCCACCAGGTCGAACCAGCTTGGAATTGTTACTAAGTTTGTGGCACAACCGGCATGCATACATGAGAAATGTTGGCCAGCTGTTTAATAACAGGTCAGTGAAATCATAGTCTGGAACAACGTCACCCTAAAACAGAAATGTTCATCCTCTTAATACCAAAAAATGCACTTCTCTAACATTTAAATTTGCAGACAAAATCCTGTGGAGTTACCATTCACGTGAAACCCTATCCATCAAAGGAGTTTTGCAGAGTGTTATTCTTTTAGAGTTTTAGAAAAAGAAATTTGAAATTAAAGGCTTGACTGTACTATTTAATATCCAGTCACTAATGAACCAACTGCTGCACTCAAGATTTTAATGTGAACATTAATAATTTTAATGTTGAAGTTTACCTTCTTCTCAATAACATGTTCTCTAGTTATTTTGCTGCGATCAATGGCTTTCAAACCAAATATCACATAAACAGTCGCTGCTGTATCCACTAGGGGTTTGTCAATAGCCTTACAGCTGCCTGGTGGGCACACGGTAGGTAGTGTTGTGTCACCAGTTGAAGTGGTAGACCCTGCACCAGATCTGCTGGTGGCTATATAACATGCAGTGAAAACAATAGTTTATAACATTTACCATTGATACTTATTAGTAACAACCAAAGGTTATGGGGTGCGCACGATATGGATTGAAGGTCAAAACGCTTTTGCTCCTACGCTAGGCTTTGCATAAATGTCATGCAATAGATGGTGGAAACACGCGTAATCAGATTATGAGTGGTAAAAGGTCCAAACGCGCGTCAGATCAAATTGCATTCTGAGCATTCCATTCATTCTTAATGGAAGTCCAAATGAAGCTTGCAAGCCAGCTATATAAGCACCAAGCATGCATAGTAGTAACCTGGAGATTATGATTGCAGGCTCCAAAAGGAAAAAGTCCTCAGGCCATAATAAGTCAAAAACTCATTACCCCTTTAAGCCCTAAGAGTGATCAGCATCAAATTTCTCCTTGTAATATCAGTGCTTTGTAAAACAGAGTGGTCATGAGAATTACGGACATGATCGCACAAGACAAATTTTGTCGCGTTTGTTAAGGAACAGTGGTCATTCCTATGTACTTACTCAAATAAGGACTGACGTTTATTTAAGACTGTTTTATCAATAGGTGTCTTTTCAATTTTATCTAATTGTCAATTGTAATCCGGAACATTTGTTTTTGAAATTAATAAAGAGCTTATTATTATTAGAATATCACTTAAAAGGTGCTTCCGTTTACTTTACTGTATATCTATTCATGTACCTTGCTTGAGTTTTTGTGTCGTCTTTGGTGGCTCTGTGATAAAACAAAAAGGTTTTACCTTAATAAAGATTGTAATAAGTACACCCTTGCAATTCTCTGCTTCTGAAGAGGGAGGTTTTTTTGCGAGTGCAGTCAAGAACAACATCAGAGCAGTAGATACAGGGATTATAATGAACACAAGGTAACAAGAAAATTCCATTTAAAGCCTTTTCATGAGAATCATAGGGATGAAAGTAAACTAACCTGTAACATCCCGAGAAGTGGATTTCTTGGTGCTCCTGGTTGGAGACCTAAAACATTTGTTTTTATTTAATACTTGAATCCAAACACTACGGACCCTCTTATGAGGAAACATGAATTTCAGGAGGAGATAAGTAGCCCAGTAAAAAACATCTACGTCCTATTCAGTGTTTTCACAGGACATCACAACAGCCATATTGGTGTTCCAAAACAATGAAGCGGCCGCCATGTTGGTACTCTGAACCAATCCTGTGGGAATTTGAACTCTTTTCTTACGTAAAAACTTTCTTTTGCTCCAATAAATTTGCATCTAGACGCTGGTCAAGTGAGTGAAAATGCTCTTTTCTCCATCTCGAGTAATGTTTACAACAAAAACCAGCAGAATTGCATTAAAAAGTGTACAGCAAGTTGTTTGGACTGATACAACACACCACAATGTTGTGCCAAAGCATAGAACACTTAATTTCTTCAAGATCTGTTCATTCTTCTAATGAAAAATCTTAAAGCTTTCTATTATTCTGGTAAAAAATTCAAAATATATTAACCTGTGAGTTATGAACGGAACTTTTTTTAAGAGCATTGTATGATGTCTATAAATTTACATAAAATTATTTTGTTACCTATTGTTGTTCTTGATCTTACTTGAGATTAAAAATGAGCTAAATGTATATAAATGTATAAAGTCTTTCCCCAAACAAATAAATATACAAATTTATGCATAGGACTGTGCCCTAGCTATGCCCAGTAGCCCACAGCACCTCACTTTTGCTTTTGGGTGACTAGGATCAAATCTTAGTTTACGCTGGGTGCCCAAATTTTCCAGAGCACTGGGGTCCAGAAAATTTCTCGTAGAGCACAGCCTTGATAATAATTACACAGAATCAAGTTTCTTACATGACAACCAGTCTCTAAGCACACATGCAATTTAAATAATCTAATGAATGTCATTTTCTCATTAAGATCATTACATTAACTTTTTTGAAACAAGCCTTACTTTGATGCCTTTTGAGTTCCAGGTGTTAGTGTCAAAGTTGATGATTTCTCAGGCAGAAGAGTGGTAGTTTGCCTGTAAGCCAATGTGGTAGACTTTGTTGGATTGGACTGCTGGTGTATTCCGCTTGACTTTGGCTTGCCAGGTCGCTGTGCAGCAGTAGTAGGGGAAGGGATAGTTGTGGAGCTTTTCAACCCATTTGTCTCCGTTGCTGTTGCTTTTGTTGTCTTAGGGTTAGGAATTTGGTTGGAGTGTACATTATCATTGCCTACGATATCCAAGTCTAAATCATTCACATTAAGGTTGTCACTACTCATATTGTACTTCAAGTACAACAACTGCTGTAAATTGGTGCTTTCCTTGAAAAATGCTGGAGGCTTTGTAGAAGCATGGATCATACTGTCTAACGTTATGGATGCCACAAGGACCACCACAAAACACACAACAACAACAATAGGATATTTCTTAATTGGAACTCCCCACCAACGGTACAAAAAGCTTTGCAGAAAGTTGCCAGATTGGCCTGTCTGTCTAACTGTAGTTCTTGGCTGTGAGGTTCTGCTCTGCATAAGTGGTGTCGACAGTTGCATATCAAATGTGCCATTAGGATCACTATACATGGCCAAGTCACAGTCACTAGAGCTTGGCGAAGGAGACTGAGAGTTTGATCCACTGCTGTTGAGTTGCAGTAACTGATCATCATCATCTTCTTCTTGGAATGATTGCCGCACAGAAAGTTCTAACTCAACCGATGAAGCTGATGAGGGCTCACTTGCCGTGCGGTTTTGGTCATTTCCTGACAGGAACTGAACAATGTCATCTGCAAAACAGTGGCCGATTCAAAATCAAAACACAATGATATTTTGTATCCCAGAGCATAGTTAGTAGAGGAGACTGGTTATTGTTAAGTCCCAATGGTGACCAACATCAATTTTCTCCCAATAATATCCATATATTATCAAATGAAAAGGTTATGAGAATTAATAAAATGATCACCAAAGTGAAAATGCCTTGATCTTTTTTCAAATTCTCTCAACTAATTCTTAATGGAAATGTATAAAGATCAGTATGGAGAATTTGTAAGTGGATATTGGGGCTTAAAGGGTTAAGAAAGCTGGCAAATATCAAAGATGAAAACAACAGTGCGGCAGTTTATGTTGGAAACTCCCTAAATAACTTTGTGCAATCCTATGTGTTTTGTTCGCAAAACAATGGTGACTGAATAAATTAATCCAATGTTTCTATTGATCCGTAAGTTCAAAATAATAGGAATGTACATAGTCAAGTCCAAAAAGGCAAACATATAAACATATAGCAAAGGAGTCAATGGATTTCATCACCATAATGCACTTTATCAACTACGCCCAGAGCTTTCAATCTTTGAGATTCATAGTGAAACCTTGATAGAACACTGAACAATATTCCTCACTACAGTAACAATAATTACTTACAGGATCCTAATCATTATTCTTAATATTAAATAAGCTTGTTTTAATGAACATAAATGTTTTCTTGCTCCTTGGGAAGAAAACTTTTTGAGGTGTCATAGCAATATGACAAAATTTTTTTAAAAAGCTTGTCTACATTTCTGGTGTAACATCCTGATGAATGTGAAAACTGGACGGAAGGTAGCTTGAAGAGCACACTTTTTAAATTTTTTATTTTAATTTTTTAAGGAAAACTCAGAGGTACACTGATCATGACTGCCATCATGAAATCTTCTCCCTTGAAATTTTTTTTTTGACTTGCCCCACCTCTCTGTCAGTTTCGACATCCAAGATGACAGGAGAACATCAGTATCACTGTTCACACTGCAAAATATGCCTGCAGAAGGGAGACCAGATTTCTCAAGGTGAATTACTTACCAGGTAATGTATATCTCACATTGCCAAACAAATAACTGGTCCAGCCAGAAATAAAATCAAATATGACTTCCTCCCATTTGACAATGTACCTGTGCCACAAATTTAGAACAGGGGGAATGGTACAAAAGACTGTTAACCAGCAAAAGCTCACTATAAGTGCCATGAACAGACCAAAATCACGAATTGCTGGCATCTGTAATATGAAAGAAATAAGTCATTCAACATGAGCCCAGTGATGACACTGATCATTAAAATAAAATTAAAGCACAGAAATTCCATGGTTTATTAACCTTTTGCACCTTGAAGCAGCCAAAAACATTGAAAATTAAATTTAAACTTTCATTTTGTAAGAATAGTATGGACACTACACATTAAAACATCACATCAAAGTACAAGTGTACTGCTAAAGAGTTTATGTTTCAATGATCGCATAAAGTAGAACCTGGTGAATATGAACACCAAAGGGGTCATGCCATGGTGTTTGAATTATCCAGATCGTCTGCACACTTGTTACGTTGAACTGTGAAAGGTTTGAACCCAGGAGTCATTTCAAAAGTAGGTTGAGTTTGATCGTCCAGGTGAACGTAGTCCTGAATAGGACTGATGTTGTTGACCAGAGACTGACATTTCGACAACCTGTGCAGTACTCATCTTCAGAGTCAAAGTGAGTTGTATCATGTCAGTTGATGGTATTATACTCTGGTTATTGATCTGATTGGTCAATTACGTAGTAATGTTATTGGTCGTCTGTCAGTTAAGCCGTGATGTTATTGGCTATGAAGACTCGTAATCAGTAACTGGTGCGTTTCGATCCGTTGAATTGATATATGAGACTAATAACAAAACATTGACTGGATGAATGGACAGACACAAAGAAACGACTTCTAATCTGTTCCACAGACTCACAGTCCTACAAAAATAATAAGACCATTCTTTTCTTGCATAGTCATTAATTTATTAGAGTCAAACATTTTTTAAATTTGTACCTCAGAAAGGCAATTGGCAGAAAATGCTGCTGCTGTGGTGAATGAAGTGAAGAAGGTGGCTTTCCCAGCAGTGCACAAAGTGTGAGCAATACGAGTTTCCAAGTTTTTGGCACCATGTGCTTGACGGAACGTGTTAATGAAAACAAACACATCATCCACTCCAATGCCAATAATGATGAACACTGAGATACCACTTAGTATTCCCAGACTCACTTTTTCAAACACGACACGGAAGAAAAAGTAAGCCAAGCAGATTGGTGTAAGAAGACTTAAGATCCCCCAGAATGTCAGCCACAATGAGAACCTAGTGAAGACTAACACAAATGCTGCAACAAAAACCATGGTGAAGACAGAGAGTCTGATGTCAGCCCAGAGAGTCTTGTCCACCTCATAGTCAAAGATATCATTTCCTCCATAAAGGATATGAACTTTGCTGGATATGAATGAAAAAGGAATCAGGTTAGCAAGGGTTTTATTACCAGTATAAAATATAGTCACTAGAGAATATGGCCCAATAGAAAATGCAGTGGTGGATTTAAAAGGATTTACTGAAAAACCTAAGGACAACTCCGATAAAGTAAAAACCAGTGAGTAAGAACTAACATTTTCCCAAGTTAGCCTAGACAGGTTCAAGATTACATAAATGGCAATTAGCACAAGTTTAGGTTATTTAGGTTCTTAGGTTCTCATTTTATGATGAAAACAAATACAAGTTGCTGATGGCATTTTGTGGCACCAGGGATATAGCTTAAATTTATAACAGATGGGAATTGCAATTTGATGGGGTTAAGGGGCCTGTGGGGGGGGGGAGCAGACGNTCAAGTTGACAACCGGGTATTTTCCCTAGCTCCCAGCTATTATCTACATCCCTGCAGTGATATGCACTTTATTCCTTTTATAGAATCTCAATATATATTTAGCCCTTATTCTTTTCAGTGCCAAGCGCTACGCTTTAAAAAATCCATATCATAAAATAGGAATCCTGGACTAACTTACATTTTATTGTTACATTGTAGCAGAAACAAAAAAAAACTAATGATAAAAAAATAAAATCCTAAGACAGTTTATAAACTCACTGAAAAGATAGGTCTTCAACCCAGAATTTATTAACTTTATTAACATTGTCAATCGATCTGATATCAATAGGCACATCGTTCCAGAGGATAGGGACAATGACTGAAAAGGCCCTGGGACTGTATGCCTTTAGGTCACAGGCTTCAATAACAAATTGCCATTTTTTTAGAAGATGAGCGATTAGGACACCTCGCAGGTTCATAAATGCGCAATGGTACTATCAGATTACCAGAAGCTAAATTGTTAAGTACCTTAAAACCAGGGCTGTGCTCTAGTAGAGCCCAGTGGCCCCTAGCGCCTAACTTTTGCTCTTGGGCAACTAGAAAATCGTATTTTTTTAAACAATAATTGTTTAAAAAAAGCACTGTGCTCCATTTAATTTTCCTTAGAGCACACCCTTGCTTAACCCATTCGCTCCTGGAGATTTTGCCGAAAAACGCGTGTTGAAGCTAGTCAAGTGGTTTTCTGGTCACTGTCGTGCTATAAAGAGCTAAAACTTACCACAAACCGGTTTACAGGTCGTACACTTCGCGGCCTTCTGATCCAGATGCAAAACATCAGCTTACGAAGTTCGGGCATGCGCAGAAAGCAAAATTTCAAGACACAGCAGTCTTGACTTTTACTTTTTGCTTTCTCTACTCCCCTCTTTTTTCGCTTTTCTTGCCTCATTTTTTTTCTCTTGCTGGGAATTTAGTAGGCTTCGTTTTGGTGGGAATGGTTTTTAGGAAAGCTTTTAGGATCTTAGGATTGGGCGATTCCAGAAAATATCCATACCATACCACGGACGGCTTTTAGGATTTCCGAAGGGGAGGGGGGGTTCACGATTATGGAATTCTGAGGGCACGGGGGGTATTTACGATTAGAAATCCGAAGGTATGGGGGAATTCCACAGGTGGGATTTCTGGAGTAGAATGTGTAGAGTGAGTTCCTTGAAAACGCCATTGTTGTGGACTTTTGTAGTTCGTAAATAAACCACGAACGTATGACCGCGGAAGCAGAAGACAAGCATCGATAGATCAGACACGTGTTTACGCTCATAACTTATAGAAGAACAGTAAAACGTGGGTTTCACATTAACCTTGATGAATTTCTTGTCACGTGAAAAAAAAAAAATGGAATATATATCTTACTGCTTGCAAGTTTCTTGTTACCCCGTCCGATGAACAGTCAAAAAACTCGCACCAGTCTCTGGCTTCCAAGGAACGCCTGTCAGATTAGAACACTTTTCGTGCACACTACATGATGTATAAAAGGACGCAACACGACTCGACGGTATATTTGACCGTCGAAAGATTTTCACAGTCTGAATTTGAGCTATTTTGCTTTGTAAATGTCAAAACAGCACAAGAAAACAAAGAGGAGTAAAATTGCCGTTAGTGGTGTTTATTGTTATAGCCAAATTCGGACCTAAAAGGAGTTTGCACAGCCTGGCTACTAGCGGTAGGTTAGAGTAAAGCTTGTCGCTTGGCGCCGCTAGATCACAGCCTTGAGGAGGCATAAATTCATGTTCGTTTGTTCATATAGGCGTTGCTAAGTCGAAAATGTACTTCCAAAAAAACAGAAATTCTGAAGGGGAGGGGGAGGGGGTTCATGATTATGGATATCTGAGGGCCTGGGGGGGTAACACATTTTGGAATTTCCGAAGGCAAGGGGGGGATAAAACATGGAAGCCGTCCGTGGTTGGGTATGGATATTTTCTGGAATTGCCCATTAGGTGAAAGGAAAGGTAGGTGAGCAATGGAACAAGATTTTCATGGAGATTTTCAGGTCAATGTCACACGGTTTCTTTCTTCTTTCTCTGGTGTCCTTGACTGAATTGTGCTCATTCTGGTATGGTTTGAAAGATCTCTTCACTCTGCACAAGCTAGCGGACAAAGTTGTCCTTGACCGTTAAAACTGATGACGTCACAAAGGGTAGAAAGGATGTGGATCCACACGGGCGGTTACAGGCGGTTCAGGGGCGAATGGGTTAAAACATATGAGATTAATCTTAAAAATACAATTATTCTCTGCTCCATCCACTGGTAGCCAGTGCAGCAGTACATTGCAGTTGGAGTGATAAGACACTGATGCCTCCAAACTGAGAATCCTGAATGTTCACTTATTGTATTCCCCCAAGTATACAGAATTTTTACCTAGCTTTTAGAAAATAAGAACCTGTTTCAAATTTTAGGCTAAACAGGTTCTTGTATAGAGGGGGCCTAACTGGCAAATTTAAGCCTTCTTACTCGCAGGTTTTTACTGTATTTCAACAATTTTTATTATGTTAATGAGCTATCACTACCAAGACAAAGATCAAGACAAGCAAGAAAGCCACAAAACCACCCATCCAAGCACACATCTAGCTGCAAAATTCAAATTCTTTGCATCTCAGGCAGCTGCATTCAGAGAAAATAACAAATTAAAACTGGGATACAAAGAAATTTGTGATTAGTGATCAATTGCTCCCCTTTGTCGCAAAAGAAACGTAAGGAGAACAGCGGGGAGATTATGCATATTCATCTCTTGATATAGGGCTTGATTAAATCCTGCTGGTGAGAGTCAAACAGTTGTCATATTTTATCTTATTCTTATCTTATAGGGCTTGATTAAATCCTGCTGGTGAGAGTCATACAGTTGTCATATTTTATCTTAAGAGATCATTATCCTATTCCAATGTACTTTAGGGTGTATGTTTGACTTAGAAGCGGGAATCAAAGTATAAATTAAACGCTGGTTATTATCAAAAAGGGTAAAACTTAAAGAGTGTTTAGAACTTGTCAGAAAATGCTTGACATATAGGGCAGATGTTCAAAATATTAAACTATTAAGCATGCAAGGAAATTTAGTTTTAACAACTGAGTTGACAGAGTAAACTTGTCATGCAAATCATTATTATTAAAGACAAGCGTGGACTCTCAAGGTCCACAAAGGCTACGCATTAATGTTACAACACAGACCTCAAGACTACAACATTAAAACTACAGGCAGAAGTTAGATTTACACCTTACATAAAGACTATCCATCTCCTTAACCCATTCGCCCCTGAACCGCCCGTAACCGCCCGTGTTTATCCACGTCCTTTCTACCCCTTTTGACGTCATCAGTTTTAATGGTCAAGGAGAACTTTGTCCACTAACTTGTGCAGAGTGAAGAGATCTTTCAAACCATACCAGAATGAGCACAATTCAGTCAAGGACACCGGAGAAAGAGGCAAAAAACCATGTAACATTGACCTGAAAATCTCCAAGAAAATCTTGTTCCATTGCCCACCTACCTTTTCTTTCACCTAATCCTAAGATCCTAAAAGCTTTCCTAAAAACTATTCCCACCAAAATGAAGCCTACTAAATGCCCAGCAAGAGAAAAAAAATTGAGGCAAGAAAAGCGAAAAAAGCTGGGAGGAGAGGAAGCGAAAAGTAAAAGTCAAGACTGCTGTGTCACTTTTAAACCCAAAAACTATCTCGAAATTTTGCTTTCTGCCCATGCCCGAACTTCGCAAGCTGATATTTTGCATCTGGATCAGAAGGCCATGAATTGTACGACCTGTAAACCGGTTTGTGGTAAGTTTAAGCTCTTTATAGCACGACAGTGACCAGAAAACAACTCGACTAGCTTCAAAACGCGTTTTTCGGCAAAATCTCCAGGAGCGAATGGGTTAAAGTAAATAAACAAATAAATAAATATATGGCTCAGTCAATTCCAAGGATGCCCATTCCCAGCCCCCTCTTCCAGGGTTTTGCGAGGCCTTTCTTTACAAAGTTACTGCACACGAACAGCGAGCAGTGAAGCCACAGCCGCAGTATATGACGAGAAGTTATGGTATGGATATTTTCTGGAATCACACATTGTACTTTTCAAATGACAGGGCTGTCATCAAGTTTTCAAGCAGTAAATTAAGATTCACCTGCACCCCTCTCATAAAAATTTATTGCCTTACCTATAGCTTTCCAGTTTGATCACCCGTAACATCAAGTGAGCTCAGCTACAATAGGTGTTACAGGTTATGGCTCTTAATAGCAACTATGTATGAAATACATTTTCCGTTTTGAAAGGTGGTGGGAAATCTTCGATAAATGTTAAGTTCAACAATAACAAAACTAATACTCCAACCCCCTAAGCATAACTTTCATGACACACGCCCACAACTTGACAAATGCCTAATATATGCCCCAGGGGGGGTGGGGGTGGGCATGAGCGTACTCAAAAAATTGACTGATTTGCGAAAAAAAAACATCAGTGAAACTAAATAACCTAATTTCAAAGCTGCATTTTAAAGCTACTCATAAAGCACTGTAGAAAAAAAGTGCGGTTTAATTTTAAGCCTCAATGATTTTTCATTGCATTTCATGACGAAGCATTTCGACAACGCTTTTAGGTATAGCTCATTAGTGATCGTGAATTTTGTTTACAAATTCCTGTTTTTCAGAAAAGCAAATCCTAAAAAATGCAAACAGGCACGATCTTCTCTTATCTTCACTTTATTTAAAGCACCCAGCTTCAAGGCAATTATTAAACTTGAAAAGCATAAAAACATCCGTATAATCTTGAACAATGAAAACGCTTTGAAATGGCCGGTTTTCTTCACCTGAAAAGCTCTTCAAGCTCTTATCTACATGTATCATTTTTGTGAAAATCCTTTTACATGGTATTTAAATTCGACAAAAGCATTTAAGCGAGGGCGTTAAAGAGAGACGGCTTCCCACTTAATAAATGTAAACTTATCTTTATTTAGGAGGAAAAAAGATACTTACTCGGTTGACATTTTCTTCAAAGCTTCCACATATTTGATCAGAAAAGTCTTGAAGGATTTGCTCTGTTGTTTGCTATTGTACCCATACTTCCAGTGCAAAGGCGAACCAAACTTTATTTCGGCACGTAAAAACCTGCTCTTTTGATGGTCTTTGGAGAACGAGTCGTCCACAAACCAGTACGCGTAAGGCTTTGTTAGTAGCAGTTTCAAACTCTGATCTATGCTTTCTTTCGTCAGGTTAACTTTTCCTTGCCCGTCATTTATACGTAGACCCAAGGTCTTATTAATGGACGGAAAGAAAAAGTCTATAAGCGAAATGGGAGGCGTACAGCCATTTATATGAACAAGAAAAGGATCGAACTTTGCCTTGCTCCATTTCCAACAAAAATCAGCAAAGTCTTCTAGCAGTATCAGATTCTGTTCAATTTGATGAATAGTTTCCAAGCGCTCTTTCGTGAAAATGTTCAAATCAGATTCATCTTTTCCCACAGCAAGATACACGAGTTCCAGAGTCCATTTCGGTCTTATTTGAAATGGATAGGCATCTGGAATCCTAGCTGACCGTTTTCGCCGGCCTTTTCTGGCAGGTTCTCGCCGAGGAACCTTCTTGCTTTCTTTCGACAGCTTGGACGCGACGTCTACCAAGTCGTTATGTTGGGACGTGATGTGTCCCGGAATCTCAAACGACTCTAAAGATTTATCTATCACCAAATATTCTCCCTTCTCTTTATGGTTCAAGTCAAAAGCACGCCAGCCCAATAATACGGGAATCAAAATAGCGGCTAGTAAGACCACTGCAGCACCCGCGGGATGGACGTACAGTCGAATTAAACTTAATCGAAGGGTTGGCAAAATCTCCCTTAAACCATGCACAAAGGAGATAGAAGTAAAATAAGTTTTAGGTTGATGAAAAGACAACGCCGGTTCCAGAGCTGGGTCCATATAGAAGTTTCCTTCACCGCCACTTTCGAGATTTTCGCTATCATTCCCAAAACACAGCTTTGAGAAGTCATCGCTTTCTTTGCGTGAGTGGCCTCGAGCTTCCTGCATGGTGCTCGCTTTGTCAAACACAGGCGTCTTTTTTATAGGTTGGAATTCGCTGCATTCAACTAAAAAACCACGCAGATGAAGGTGAATGATAAGAGAATCTCAGGAAGTTACTCTTTCACCACAATGTTTACCTATAACATCGCGAAAACCCTCTCTGTAAAAAGCCGCAGTGACAGAGCTATTCAACTCTATGGAACAATCCTAGCAATGATATTAGCCTTGTATGTTATGAAACTCTGATCACGTGATGTTGTTATTTACATCATCATCAGACCCGCCATGAGTCACCGCTGTGGGCTTTCACGACTTATTTTTTTACAGCCTGTCAAAAATATTGGCATCTGATCGTTAATAGATTGCTGAATCCTTTTCACGGTATAAAATCAACATCTGCGGTCCACGTCTCACGTCACCGGGAAATAAGAATATTCCGATTTCCGTATTTCCGAGTTCCCGTACATTTTAAAAGTTCCCTAAGCGCGCTGAAAGATCTTTTGTTCTATATCTGATACAGAAGGAAACACCAGAAAGAAAAAAGTTCTGCATAAAATTACAATTCTACGTGTACGAAGGAAGCACATTTCCATAGCTTTCACTTTTTATCATTTCGCTCCCCTCCGTGAAAGCATTTTTCTGGCAAAATGACTCTGATAAGAAGATTTAGCCGAGCCAAGGAAATTAACGAGGGTTGAAGATACGTTGCGCGGACAAGATAAGAAGTCTCTTTATACCGAAAGAGCAGCGGGGCTCCTGCAAACACTGAGGTAAATAAATAAACGAAACAGAAAAGCAAAGCGTTTAAGCGTTTTCTTTTTTTAGGCGCATACATTTTTCCTTTTGAGTTATGCGTCAGGCGCAATTACATATTCAGAGTCCATGGCAAAGATAAAGAGTCCTTATTCTACTTCCGTCGCCTGAAAACGTCATATGACTGGCAAACGTCAGGCCGACGGTGCGCTCATTTCATCCCGCTCCGCCCCGCCCCGCCCTCCTTTAGTGTTCCGTTTCACACGGGCATACGAGTAACACATGGATACATACGGGTACATACGAATACATACGAGTAATAAATAGCCTGCGTAGGCGCTTGGCCGTAGTGGGCGCAAGAGAGAACGGGGCGCGCGAGGGAGACACGCACCTCTCGCGAACCCGTTCTTTCTTGGGCATGCCGCCTAAATAATTCGTGTTTTTCACTCTTAGACTGTAGCAGTGTAGCTATTTAAATAAATCATTGATGTACTTGATGTCTACTTTAAACTTCGTAATTGCAATGTACTGTAATTTTCTGTTCTTAGTACTGTGGGACTGTTAGCCCAGTCTAATAACTGGCTGTATGACAAATCCCAGTCATAGTATACAGCCCTCAATCTCTCAGTCCTCTTTCCTGGACCCGCCCACGGCTAACTTTCTAACCTGTTCCAGGCTCCAAGATAGTGGTGAACAGTCGTTCAGTAGAAATGCGAAAAGCGCGCGGGAGCTAGAGTCACTGGCCTTGCAGAAGTTAGAAGTGCCACACTATGCTACAATAAGTGAGATGAGGGAGTATAGCAGCTTAATTTAGCGTTTGTTGGGATAAGATTTCGTAATCTCAGTATAACCCCCACTTTCTGACTGCTCTCAGTTTTACAGACGATATTGATATGATCCGCAAAAGATAGTTTGTTGTCAATAGTAACACCCAACAGTGTGATATTATTTTCCGGCTCAATGCTAAAGTCCTTGACTTTGATATTTCTCTCTCTCTTGTCCGTTTCACTATCATACTCCCATACTTTTTATAGTTCCCCATAAGATAGTTGTCTACAGCACACAACACCTTTATGGTGGCCCACAACTGTCACGGCAAAACCAAAAACCTCACGGCAAAACCAAATCAGCCAAATGCTTCACAGCAAAAACAAAATAGCTTTGGTTTTGCCGTGGGTATTTGCTTTTGCCGTGAAGTATGTGGTTTTTGCTGTGAAGTATTTGGTTTTGCCGTGAGGTCTTTGATTTTGCCGTGAGGGTTTTGGTTTTGTCGTGAGGTATTTTGTTTTTGCCGTGACAGTTGTGGACCACCGTAAAACACCTGGTATGTTTGCCGATGATACATACATAACTACAGCTCATGGGGATATATCCACAATTGAATGTTTCTTAAATAGTTATTTCGGTCTGCAGTGCATAATTTTTATAATTTGCTTAAGACAAACAAATTGAGTTGCAATACTTCCAAAACTAGTTATATGAGAGGGTCGTGAAGGGGGGTACCAAATCCCAGTTCCCAGCCTAAATTTGGCCCAAATCCCAGTTCCCAGGCTAATTTTTGCCAAAATCCCAGTTACCAAATCTAAAATCCCATTACTAATGATTATTTGCAAAATCATGCGCATAATAAATTAAAAGCACTGATTGACGCTATTGGGATACACGTACATTCACCTGGACTGAAGAAAATCTCTCATTCTGCTGGTGAACACTCTTTCTCTTCCAGACCTTGTTGACATAACCATATGAAAACCAATTCTATCATCTGCACAATCCTCGTCTGACTCACTGTCTCCGCTTTCACTGCTAGCTGGTAGCTAGACCGCGGGCGCGAAGGCGAAAAATACTGATTTCACGGTCTCTACTGAGGAGTGCAAGGTCTGTTGCTACGAAATTTTATTTTTCTATTTCAAAATATTGGAGCAAAGACCGCTGAAGAAAAGAAATCCCATTCCCATTTTATAATTATTCATTCCATTCCCAGTGGCTAAATCCCAGTCCCAGTGAGTAAATCCCATTTTCCCAGTCCACAATAAGGCTAATCCCAGTTCCTATTTTACCCCTTCACGACCCTCATATGACAATTGGCTCGCGGCAAAACTTGGCAAAATCTAACGATGGATGATAGACCTATCGAACATAAACCTTCTACTGAGTTATTGGGGGTTGCTGATCAAAAATATTTCACCTTAAATCTCAAATGGCTTGCGTATGCTGTACTTAGCTAGAAACTAACCGACAATCAAGAGATTCCAAAAACTATTTACCATGTACAACAATTGAATGTTTCTTAAATAGTGATTATAGTTCCACAAAAAGGGTCCAAAAGAGGATCCCCGAGGACATCCTAGTTTCACTTCAAGAGCTGGTAATGTCTTAGCCTGCGTAGGAGGAAGGCGCTTGGAAGTGGTGGGCACAAAAAAAAAGGGGCTCCCTCACCCCTCGCGTGTCTCCCTCTCGCGCACCCTCTCTCTCTTTCGCCCACTACTTCCGAGCGCCTGCTACGCAGGCTAGTAATGTCTCTTACCCGAACCCTATTATATCGATCCATAAAATATGCTTGCATAAGATTAATGCTACTTTCGTGAAACCCATAACCACGAAGCTTCCCCAACAAAAGGGGATGATGTAAACAGTCGAAGGCCTTACTCATGTCAGTTGATAGGAGGCCAACAAACCAGTCTCCATTGTCTAGGGCTCTTCTCCAGTTTTCAACCAACACCGTGAGGCTTGTCTCAAAACTGTCTTTTTCTATAGGCTGTCTAGTAATCGTTAAGACAATGTTCAGTACCCCTGGTCACTTGGCCCGATAGAATCTTTTCAAAATCTTTATCGTTACTGGTCGATAATTCTCCTTGTCGAGGGAGTCATCGTTGTTGAAAACTGGCGCCTACCCTGCTTTCTTCCAATCGGAGGTCTAGTGGCATTCCCTGAAGCAGGAGTTGAACAATGTTGTAAGGAGTGTTGCCAACTCTGTAGCACCACACCTCAGGGCATCAGGTGGTATGGAGTTCCAACCGGTGGCTTTTTTTTAGGTTTACGCGGGTCCCGCTCCCACCTTTTTGTCCCTTTTTGTCCAATGCTCTCACGCGTCGCCACTTGGACACGAAAACGGAAACGACTGCTCACGCAAGCTCGAGCCCGTCTCAAACACATGAACGCAAAGGCTTTAGCTGTGCAAGCTTTCCATTTGGGGGAGCCGCAAGAAGTCATGCGAGAGCAGAACGCAAAAAAAAAAGCGTTCTCTCACATCTCGTTTCGTTCATGGAGAGCTTGACATCGAATTCAGAGGGGTACTTATAATTGGAGCTAGGAGGGGGAGGGGGGGGGCTTGTATCTGGGAGGGACTTATAATCGGATGTATTTTTCTCGTTAACAGGTAGAATAACTGGGGGTAGGGGAGGGGGGCTTTTAAGTGGAAGGGCTGGCAAGCGGTATTTCCGCGAAACATAATAGTCATCTCTGGAAGAAGGAATTACGTCGTTGTTCAACACGAAGCATCTCAAAGAAAACCTCTTGAGTTATATTTCAAGGTTTAACGCTGCTGATCGCCATTTACAGTCTGTACAATCGCCATATTTCTCCAACGCTCACTCGCCACGGTCACCTCGTAAAATTCACTAAATGCAATTTCCTCTCAGCTTCCTACGCAGACGTTCTTTTGGCTTGTCACGCAATCCTGTCCATGAGGATTGCGTGACAAGCGATAAACGCCTGCGAAGAAAGAGAGTTTGATTTGCGATATAAAACAATTTTGTTTCTGTAGGAATGTTCAGGCGGGGCTCATTCGCCCAACATTATATTTGTCCAAGTCTCTTTCTTAGATGTTCTTAGTCCTCGACAGTTTGTATTTCTCCCATGTTCACACGATCCGCTGCATTCACACTGAATCCCAAAATACTGGGATCGACTTTTTGCATCTTCTTCTTTCGCTTCTTTTTATTCATTGCATCTTGAGAGTCTTCTTGGGCTGGTCCTGATAAGAATGCACCTGATTGATTCATATCTGTGTTTCTCCCCATGGGTGGGCCGCGAGGTACAGGAGCCCCCCACACGCTTGCCTGCGAGGAAAGAACAACACAAAACCCGGTAAATACACAAAGCAGGTTTGCTTCCCCGGGGGGCACCCCCTATGTGCCGCTGAACAGGGAATGGTTTTAAGAGACTCCCCATGGCTGGGCAGCGAGGAACAGGAGCCCCTCACACGCTTGCCTACGAGGAAAGAACAACACAAAAACCGGTAAATACACAAA